TACCTCTTCCCTCTCTACGCGCGCGTGTTTAGTCACGCTGCTTTTGGGTTCTCTTTGCTTGGGCTACTCACAATGGTGAGTGCACTCAACCCAAATGAAACTGTGCAAACAAGTTGTGACTGAAACCTCACTTCTTTGTGTAGAGGTGTACTAGGTTGTTTAAAGGTATGTTCACAACTGTTTTACTTCAACAAAGGTTTGGAGAAACGACTGTTTAAGTATCTCACGTCGGTATTGAATGTCACAATGGTGGCCATTTTGTTTTATGGGTGGGTGGGTGGGACCGTCCTGCCCCACGCGCGATGGTTTGACCCCCCCTCCGCATCCCACCAGCGTGGAACAGACTATGCCTATGCCATATCGAAAGCGATAACAATCCCCGCTTGGAAAAAGAAAGATCACGTTTGTGCGAGTGACAGCAGTTGTTTTGAGATTTCGTTTGTATTTCGTGAAGCCTCGTTTATTGTTTAAGTTTTTGGTGCCTCGACTGTTTTTATAAATATATTTATATATTGACCTTAGGGTGCAATATTTAATATATTTATGTTTTGTGTTTGTCGTTGCGTAGGGTAGGTATGAGGAGTTAACGCGTTGCAATAATACGCATTAGCCAAAAAGACCTGAAGTTTTCCTTGGACAAGGGTCAGTGAAGGTTGCAGCAAAGATGCAAAGCCCTGACGCAAATGTTGCAGGTGAGATGAGGGTCAGACAGGCTCTAAATCGCAGAGCCCGAGCCTTCGACCTTGCCCAGCTGTGCGCCTACACCACCATGGAAGCATGGCACGAGCGTGTTTTTGAAGTCCTACAAAAAGAACCCGCTCCAAACGCAATGTCAGTCACAATGCGCCAGCTGAAAGAGGCCGACAAGATGCTGTTCAGAAAGCTCGCTGAGAAAACCAGAGGAGCCTTGGCACAGCAACCAGATGGGTCCAAACCAATGGAAACCCATTTTGAGGCATGCGCTAACAATGCAGAAGTCCAGTTTTGCCTCATTCCAATGGTAAAAGGAGCACCAAGAGCCAATTCAGTTGATACCCCATCCCCTAAGCAGAAGGGGAAGGGAAAAGGCAGTGGAAAAGTCAGAAAGGATTACAACAAGCCTTCATATGGTGCTGGAGCACAGCCGTTGCCGCCAAATTGCCATCAGATGACGCCACAGGGAAAGCCAATTTGCAATACCTTCAACAGAGGGACATGTGACTTCGCAAAGCCAGGAAAAGGTGCAAGAGAGGCTTTCATGTGTGCTGGCAGTGCTTCAAACCGAAGCCTTTTTCCGCATGTGACCATTCGTGACAGACGGCACCCCCTTTTTGGGGAGAATTTGGAGCAGCCACCAGGAAACGAGCCAAGTCAGTGCATAAGACTCCACCGCCCAAGCATGACACGTTGCAAAGTTTTTCCAGACGAATCTAGCACCACTAGAGCGCTTTTTTGCGAAGTTTTGCAGGGTGTGGACGGCTAAGCCGTGCCGCCAAACAGTCTCGTTTCTGCATTTTTGCCAGTTGACGGACCCCGCAACGAACTCAAGGTTGAATGCCCAGTTTTGACCTTAGACTAGTGCGTACAGAAGAGCAGCAGTGTCTCCCTGACACCTACGACAGTTGGAGCCACCAGCTATCCATGTAACTTTGCCATGTGGCACAGGAAGCAGAGCCAGAGAGCGTCCTGTACCCGCTCACCTGGTAGCAAAGGGGGCACCACAGCCTCGGCCATTGTGCAACGTATCCCATCCTCTTGGGATGCCTGGGCTGACACACCATGAAAAACAAAGGGTTGAAGGTGCCAACAAGCTGGAAAAAATCGCGCTTGACTTGCTTGTCATTGCCGTCACTTTGTCATGTGTTTTCAGCTTGAAAAATCCTAGCAACTCATGGATGTGGAACGTTCTTGTTGTTTATGTCCAACAATTCAATGATGAGCGTTTTCTGCAGGCCTGGTTGAACGTGTTTGCAGTCCAATTTAGTAACTGTGCGCATGGGGGAGAACGACCAAAACAGACCACATGGAGATGCACCCATGATGTTTACAATCACCTGGCCAAGCCATGCCCAGGAGACCACGAGCATAAGCCCTACCAGGTTACCAAATCCTTTGGCACCTGGACCTTCGACACCGCAGCCACAAGTGAGTCCCGTGGTTGCTGTGCATCCGCCTTTGCCCAGCACTTCATGCAGAATTTTTCCCAGTGTTTTGACCTTTCACCCCCGAAAAAGCCCACACTGGGTCACACTCAAAATATACACCAAAAGACTTCAATCCCTGAGCACCCTTGCATAACCAACCAAACACCTCAACCACTTGATGAATTTAAGGTCCTTCCTCCACAATTTACAGGGGGGTAACAACGGGGAGGAACACCAGGAAAAAGAAGTATGGCATTTACTATACACCAGAGCAATTTAGAAAAAAGGGCCACTTCCATGACGCATCCGTTTGCAGACCAGGTCCAACCCTTCTTGAATTGCTCACAAAGGGTAGAAGCCATGTTGCCGCTCAGCGTTTAAACTTTGCAAAGAAGTTAGCATGCTGTTCGAAAGAACTTGTAACAGGGGAAGCCAGATACCTTGCAACCCTTCCACAGCATGCCCAAAGGAAAAGAAGTATGGCATTTACCATACACCAGAGCAATTTATAAAAAGGGCCACTTCCTTGACGCATCCGTTTGCAGACCAGGTCCAACCTTTTGAGTTGCTCACAAAGGGTAGAAGCCATGTTGCCGCTCAGCGTTTAGGCTTTGCAAAGAAGTTAGCATGCTGGTCGAAAGAACTTGTAACAGAGGAATCCAGATACCTTGCAACCCCTCCACAGCATGCCAAAAAGTGCTAAAAGGTAAGAAGCTGCTACTTTTTCAAAAGTTGCTGGCAGGATCTGGGTGCCCTGACCTGGGGACAAGCGACGTCATGACTGGACTGGAATTAGTTGGAACAGCATCGAAGTCGCCTTTCTTCGATGCAAAGCTTGTGCCAGCTACGACAACCCCACAGTTTTTGCAGATGTCAGCTAGGTGGCAGGGGCCGAAAATGGGAGCCAGAAAAGTGCATGCAGGTGATCCGGAAATGTCCCGCCTTCTTTGGGACACCACTTTGCAGGAGGTAGAGTCTGGATTTCTGGAAGGCCCTTTTTGAGTCCATGCACAACCTCAAAGAGCATGTTGGGTCAGATCAGTCAGGTCGTAGTCAGCCGCCGTTTTGTCGTGATCTGGTCAGGGAAGCCAAGGATCATGATGACTTGTGCGAGTCTGGCGTGAACAAAGCTCATACAGCTATTGATGCACTGGAACTACACGCTGTTGACTATGTGGCCTCTCTTGCGCACTTTGTGACCACCACAGTTCGACATGCCATGGATGACCCTGAACGTCTGGTAAAGGTGTGGTTTAAGACAGGCCAATGGATGGTGGAAAAAATGGCACCCGGATTTTGGAAGCGAAGTAGAATGGCGAGGCAGGTGTGTGGATCTGTCAAAGGCTTTTAAGCAAATCCCGGTTAGCTCTGAGTCCAGACCCTTCGCAGTGCTGATAGTTCACCACTATAGCACAGGCTTTCCAGTGTACTTCGTTAGCAACAGCCTTCCTTTCGGTGCAAGCTCAGGCGTTTTTGGTTTTCAACCGTGTTTTCCAGGAGTCTGTGGCACATAGGAAACGTGTATTTGCAAGATCCTTGGAGGAGTCTTCTTTGACGATTTTTCCTCTTAGAGCTACAGCCCTTGTGCACCCTGGCCACCAAGTCTTTTGAATGCCTGCTGAAAGCCCTGGGTTGGAAGTTCTCAGACGACCCGAACAAAACCCATCCTTTTGGGAATGAGTTTGACGTCCTTGGCATACGCCTGAACATAGCCTCCTTGCATGGGGGTCCTTTCGAAATACAAAACAAGCCCAGCAGTGTTGAGAGAATTCAGAAACTCCTGGAATACACCGCTGCGCTGGAACACGTGACAAAAGGCATGCCCAAGTCGCACGTGGTAACCTGAACTTTGCTCTCAGTTTTTTCCTAGGGGAATCCTCCCTTGTTCAGCCCGTGCGTTCGCCCACTGGACCACCTAAGGTCATGAAGTGCTGCTTGTGTAGTGTAGAAGCTGTCGATGTTGAAACCGTTGCTAAACTCTGCAGAGACTTCAAACAAATGCCGACACTCCTTCAGCAAGGCATTCAGCATGCAAACAGCCTTCAGCTAGAGCTGCAACAGCATGACGACTTCACGGGGGAATAAACGGGTCATGCTATACCTTGCAAGCAACCGACAACTTCAGTCGGCATCAATGCAACAACCTTGGCTTGTCCGTTTTCGAAACCGAAGCTCAACATGAGCTTTCCATGACCCCCGACCACTCAATTAAGGAATGCGCAAAAAGGAAATCATATATCAAAGAGAATTATCAAGTCGGAAAACAATAAAGAATTGTAAGAAGCTCTACAGTACTCACGGAGTTTAAATTTATACATATAATTATATATATATATATAATTCAATGCGTAATCATAAGTACACTTCGCTTTGTTTTATAAATTTTTCCAAACACTCGGAAGTGACGCCTCTGAAAACTTCTAAAGACGGTGCATCTCCCTGAAAGGGAAAAAACTGTCTCTTATAGTTTTCACAGTGCCATCTTAGGCACGGAAGCGAAAAACAGAACCCCACACACTGACCTTCTTCCCTGGTGTCAACAAACAAACTGTTGAGGTCTGTACTGGGAAAGTTTAACGTACTTGTTTCGTTTATGTTTTACGGGGAACTTTCAGATCTGTTCTTTCTTGAAACATTTTGGTTCAAGCTTACTTCAATCTTCTGGTGCGTTTATTATGCGTTTTGCTTTCAAAAAAAACAAACATCAACATCAGGTATCTACTTCAAGACATGCACATCAAACGTCAAATCAATAGCGGTTTGTACTCAGCTTCGCTTGCAGCTTTTCACTTGCTTTGGTTGGGGTTGCACTTTCACTGCTTCAGATTTACTTTTTCAGTTTTTTACTTCACACCTGACTGCCCGGGGGGGCGAGCAATGCGACGCGAAAGACGTCGTGATCCTGAGTGGACAGAAGTGCTGGCATCACCTGTTCGAGCTGAGCTGTGTACCATCATTGTCTCCTTTTTGTATGATCAACATTCTCCTGTACGTGATTTGCCTGTGGATATCATATATCTTAGCTGGACTTCAAATCGGATTTTTTCATTCACCTTGCGCTTCAGAGAGATCACTACTCCATCAGTGGCAGATCATGGAGACTCAGATGACAACAGATGATGGTTGGGACCTCATTGCAGATGATTTATTTTCCGATTTTGTACAGCCCTCAGCCAAAGCATGCCCATTGCCACGACCTCAACATGTTGTTCAACCCCGACTTCAGGCACCTTTCAGGATGAATGCCACTCCATTGACAGGCACACCAGCTCCTTCAAGCTCAGGCCCATGCTTGACTGTAGCAGGAATCTCAGCAGCCACTCCTAAAGGAGTTCCGGCTTTTGCTCCAGTACGTAGGGATCTGCTGCACCATGTTTCACGTGTGGAGTCTCCATATGTTAGGGTTCCTCGTGATGAGTATTACCCTAAAAGTTTGGAGCGTGTTTCACAAGCTGGGTCTGTTGGCGATGCTACTGCACCACATGCATTTTTGGGAGGGACAGCCTTGTGTCCCAGTACATCGAATGCTCTGCCTTGCCCACCGTTGAAGAAGGATGGCATTCCAAAGGTGCACAAACCAAGTGTTCGGACCTCAACCGCTATGCAATTGACGCGTTCAAGGATGACTAGTGAAAACAACTTCATATTGGATCGTTTTGCAGCTCTCTTGGAAGTTTTTGGTCAATCATCAGATGTTTACAGAGCACTGTCAGCCTCTCCATATGCAGATGACCATCGAAAAAGGCTTCTGAATAATTATGCAGCAACGACGGTGCTTAGACATTTACAAGCGGTGCAAAAATTTGTCACAGTCGCTCAGCAACTGGGTTTAGATATCCACAACTGGTCGGAGGCTCAACTTGCGGACGTTTTGACAGTGATGCAGCTGTCCAAATCATGTGACACAGACAAAGACGTCACCTCTGGAAATTTTACTATTAAATCACTTCGCTGGTGGCATAAAGTGGCTGGTGTCCAAAATTTACATGTTTGTTTTTCACCATTGGTGGACAGCTTCTTGAAGACCAAGCTGAGCAAGGACAAACGGGAGGCACCCCCTCTCCCTCTTTGGATTTTGTTCCATTGGGAGCGTCGGATCCTTCAGAGCGCATCAACAAGATATGAAATTATGATGTTGGGATCCTTCCTACTGATCACCTGGTCAGGACTTCGTTTCGCTGATGCACAGAGAATGAATGTGGATTAATTGGTGTTCAATTTTCAGGAACTCAGAGGTATGGTTTGGCGATCAAAAACAATGGCTGCAGGGCACCCTTTTGGTGTCAAGGCTTCTGGGCTTTGCAGTTTAGGCACATTTACATGGCTTTACAAATTTTTGAGGACCTGGGATGAAGTGATGCATGAGTTGCAGATTTCACGGACCCGCTGTGATTTTTTGATTCCTACGATGTCCCCGGATGGATCGTTTTCGGTCTTTGAACCATTGGATTATGCAGGCACCACCAAAATTTTTCGGGACATGTTGCTGACACCATGGAAGAGTTGGCAAGGGCCACATCCCCTGGACAAGCTTCAGATGCAATACACGCTTCATTCAATTAAAGCGACCCTGCTGAGTTTTGGCCCCCAACTCGGTTCCCTTGTCAGTGACTCAGATCGACTGTTGCAGGGACACCATCAGGATCCCAAGCGTTCACTGAATTTGTATGGCCGTGACAGCGTGTGGGGTTCATTGCGTTATCAACAGACAGTGATTACAGAGGTTCAGAACGGTTGGAGGCCCAAAACCGCCCAACACAGGGGTGGACAGTTTCCGATGGTGGAACCACGGGTTACCCTGGAGCGGTTTCAGAAGACAGCTCCAGAGTACAATTTCTTGTGGTTACCGTTTGCTCAACAAGTGGACCCCCAAGAGCTACTGCAGGAGCACCCATCAAATGACGTTGTGTCAGAATCGGAATCAGATGGCAGTTCCAGCTCAGATGGCAGTTCCAGCTCAAATGACAGTGACAGTTCTTCCGGGGAGAAACCTCCTCCAAGTGGCAAGGTGGTTTCCAAAGAAGTGATGGAAACTGATGAAGCAGTTTATGCCAAACATCGTCGAGTTACTCATGCCATGGTCATCTCAAATGATGGCAACCCATCCAGACCTTGTCACTTGGACAACTACTGGAAAGCTGCATGTGGCGCTCACATGCTTCATACGGAGACGACCTTTTTGGATGACTGGCAGGAAGGTATGGCATTTTGCCAACATGCGGGATGCAAGAAAATTTGGGCATCCATCAACATGACTTGAATTTGCGTGTCAAACGAAAGTTGAAAACAGCGTTGCAGCGTTGAGACAAATTCTAACCCTCATGACAGAGGGTATTCACACTGCGTCATTGCCACATGTTCCACATATTGCACGGGGCCAAAACAGGGTTTTATATCCAATATTTTCTGCATTCACTGGCTCAAAACTGTTCATTACCGCAGCCATTTCCAAAAAAAAAAGAAAAGGGGACATTTCTGGAGCTCCCGTGCAGCCCTCAGTGTCATATCAATTTTTCCTTCACCAGCAGCTTGTGCAATCTTACCGGAATGCATAGTGGTTTTAACAGTTGTAGGATTTTTTGTCCAGCGGTCATGGTTGATTCATGTTGAATTCCAAACATCATCACCTCATTGCGTTGCGGCGTTGAATCATGGCTTCTCAAAGTCTGGAAGACATCATGTCCACATGTGGAGTGGACCCGACAATTGCATCACAGCTGGTGCAAGACGGATGGACAACTCAGTCCTTTGCATGTGCAGCCTTAGACCTTGAGTCTTTTGACAGGCTTTGGCAGGACCTTTTTGCAGACACTGAACTCAGTTTGCTTCAAAAGGCATCAGTGCGAGCAGCTTTCAAAATGTGCCAATCAGCTTTGCAGTCAGTGGCGGCTCCATCAGCCCCATCAAATGCGTCCGCGTCAACTGACCCCATGACCAGCCAAAATTCATGGGCCGAAAGTTTTCCTCCAAAGTTGGACTCAGCAGTGATTGACCAATTGAAATCGAAGTTTCTGGCCAGTTACCCGTCAGAGTTGGTAAACCATGACACCATGCCAAGCACCAGACTGCTTAGCCTAGTTCACCACCAGCTTTTGAAAAAGCAATGGGCATGGATTCCTTGGAAATACAGGTTGACGATGGCCAAATCTGATGAGATTTCATCACAGCGGCAAGCCAAAATGCCCAAGCTGGAAGTGGCTTCATTGCATCACCTGTTGGTTGATGAACCTCCCTCAATAGATATCTCCAATTCCGGTTTTGGGGTCAATGCAGTGCGAAATTTGCTGGCAGTACATGACATGGCAGTTGCGATGTGTGGAGGTGCACACCTGGCAAATCTAAAGGCTTACTCGGCCAAATTTCTGGGCTTCTTGACGCAGAAGGTGGATCCTGAAACTATGTTGAGGTGTGCATCCATTACTGAAGCGCAGGCCGCAGATCGACAGATTTGGGCATCAATAGCAGATTTAATGGCTGAACGCAACTGGGACATGGACAATTGCCTGCATGAGTTCACTCATATCCGTCATGATTTGCCAGGTTTTTTACAGCTTCGTCCACGTCCAGCCAAAGCCCAGTCTTCGCCTCAACCTTGGACTGTCCCAGGATCCAATAAAGGCAAAGGCAAAGGCAAACCATCGAAAGGCAAAGGTAAATCAAAGGGTAAAGGGAAAGTGCAATGGCTTACAGATGTGAAGACAAAGGACGGTCAGTGGAAACAGTTGTGTATGAGATACCAAACAGGTAACTGCTCCCTTGGTGACAATTGCCGTTTTCAACATGGATGTGCATATCCGGTTAATGGCCAAGCTTGCGGCCTTGACCATGGCGCCCTTCAGCATCAAAATACATCACACTGACGTTCACAGCAGGAACCGGAAGTGCAGGACGTTGCCATGATGACAGGATCCATTATCCCAGCACCAGCAGCGACAGCTTCTTCTTCAGCATCTTTAAAAGATGTTCCGGAGGCTCAAGTTTCACCTCCAATTTCCACAGGGGATTCAGCAGTATCACCAGTTTCACCAACGGTTCTTTCACCATCCCCCCAGTGTTTCACACAGGTGACGGCAAAATATTTTTAGATATTTGCTCGGGAGCAACACGGCCATTGAGTACAGCCATTTTGGCACAACATGGTGATGTCTTAGCTTTTGATATACTTCTGGATTCAAGGATGGATTTGTTAAATGACCAAAGCTATGAGCAGCTCTTGAGGATCTGCTCATCGGGCCAGGTGGCATATGGCGCAGCCTCTCCTTCATGCGCTCACTACTCCCGATTGAAACTGCACCGGCCTGGTCCCAAAGCTTTGAGGACACCGGATGCCCTACAAGGCGTCCCTGGATTGACAAGTGCAGAGCTTCTTCAGGTACAAGATTCATATATGATGCTTTTTCGATGTGTAACTTGCTTAACATTGATTTATCAAGCAGGGGGTCATGCACACCTTGAGCAACCCCCTTCAGCTATGAGTTGGTTGGAGGATTGTGTCAAAGCCTTTTTGACTCTGATTTCGGCATGGTGCGTGGTTATCTCTGCTTGCGCGTATGGCAAGAACTGGTATAAACAATGGATGTTTGCTAGCAGCTGGCAAAAAATTGCAGAATTGGGCCACCTCTGCAATCACCCTCAAGGGAGTCATGTATCTTTGGTTGGAACCGTGTCCGCAACAGGTGAATATTTGAGTAGACAAACCGCTTGCTACCCGGAAGATTTAGCTAAAGCCTTTGCGGAGAGAGTGGCACCTCTGGTTGGTCACTCATCTCATGACTGGAAATGGGACGACATTTCTCAGATTCCTCCCTTGAAAACTATCCATCAACCACCTTTTGGACAAGAAGATGGCGGTGGATTTACATCTAATCCTGACTGGAGTTTGGGTGAGCGTGTGGCCAAGGACTTTTTCGGTCCTCTTCGACAGAAGTGGGTTCAACGCATTTTGGATAATCGTTTGGACAATTTTTTGGTCCAATTCTTTTCGCAGGCTGATCATTCATCTCCACCGTTTGCAGATAATATCATCACTCCTTTTCGCAATGACCTGGAACAATTTTTGCAGGACTCGGGCATCACCCCAGACTGGACTATCCGGGACCATCAGCCCATGTGTTTGCACATCATGCATGGACTCAGCCAGATTATGCAAGACCCCGATCAGGCATTGTTTCCATCACTGATTGAGGGTGTGGGTACTGGTTTTCAACGTGATATTCCTTTGAGTAATTGCTTTCCTCTCAATGTTTCAGAGGATGTTGATGAGCCACCGCTGTCGGCACATTTAACGAACTGGCAGAGCGCTGAAGATGATCTCATGTTGACCAGACAGCTTGTGCAACAAGAAATCGATAAAGGATGGGTATTTCCATTTGAAGGCACTTTGCAGGACGCACAGCAACAATATCCCTTGGGCGTCGCACTGGGCAAGCTTGGTATTGCCCACTCAGATGGGCGGCCTCCTCGATTGGTCCTAGACCAAACAATTTGCGGCCTCAACGGGCGCTGTGTGATCCCAGAGAGAAGTACACTGCCATCCGCTAAGGATGTGCTCCGTACATTCCCGATCCGAAACTATTCTGGGGATCACATGGGATTTTCGCTTGACATTAAGGCAGCTCATAAAAGGATATGCATCCGTGACGAAGAACATGGCCTTCTAGGATTTACGCTGCAAGATAAGTTATATTTTTACAGAGTGGCCCCTTTCGGGGCCACTTTCTCGGCCTCATGGTGGTCAAGACTTGGTGGCTGGATGTTGAGGTTCTTCCACTTTTTGCTCTGGTGGGCCCACGTGGCCCTACTGTACGTTGATGATTACTTGTTCCATCAATCAATTTTTGGCATGCCGATTTCGGCCACTATGATTTGTCTTATTTGTCAAATAGTCAATATTCCGGTTTCTTGGCAGAAATGCGAACTTGCATTCAGTATACAATGGATTGGCTGGAAAATCCATTTCCGTTCAGGTTTTATTGAGATACCGATGCCAAAGATCGACAAGTTTCTGGGCTATCTCCATTCCATGGGACGCAGCTCCAGGACTTCTAAGCGGAACCTCGAAAAACTGATTGGACTGGCCCTTTGGCTGACTCAACTTTGGCCATATATGCGGATATGGATTCGACATTGGTATCATGATCTTTATTCAATTCCAGCAACACATTATAGCATTGATAATGGTGATTGGCGACAATTCTCGAGTCATTTAGATGACCATTTACATATCATTTCTCGCCCTCATGGGACAGCGCTACCAATTGGAGGTCAATTACTGGCGGTTCGCCATCATACAGTCAAGACGAAATCTGATTTGACAACAGTTCCGCTCTCCAATAAAAGAATTTGGCTTCGGATTCGAGATCCGGCTTCCACGAAGCGACATTTGTCTCCATCCAGCTTGCGAATCATACAACATTTCATACAATGGGTCACAGGTTTGTCTCCTATGAAACCTTTGACCCCCAAGAAGTATTGGGATGGTGAAGCGGCAGCTGACGCATGTGCTTCTGGCAGTACATGCGAAATTGGAGGCTTCGTCAAATCTGCTACGGGCCAAGTTTATTGGTTCTCCGAGATTTATTCACATTCAGATTTCACTCAACTGGGCATCGAACTGGATGCAGAGATGCAGCGATCTATTTCAGCTTTTGAGACACTGGCCCAAATAGCTTTACTTTTTGTGACTTCCAAATTTTTTCCTGCGCATAGAATGCCTATTTGCTTGAAGAGCCTTAGTGACAACAGTGGGGCAGAATCTGGTAGCAACAAGCTTTGGAGTATGACATATCCTCTATCAATTTTTCTGGAACGAATGTGTCTTCTATCCGCTATGTTGGGGATGGAAATCGATGTCAATCATATCCCGGGCTCTCAAAACATTTTTGCAGATGACTTAAGCCGTTGGGACCAAACTGGATCACCACCTCACTCATTTCACTTGAAAGATCGCATCCGTATTCCTCTGACAGAGCTTTGGCAGATCCGCACTTCTCCAACCTTGATTCCGAAAGAAGCTTCCATACCATGGACATTACCTACTGTTTAATTCCTTTTTCTTGATTGCTGGAATTCCCTCACTTTTCAATTGGGGTATATTTGGCGAGTTGAATTCCCAGATAGTTAATTTAGGGGTTTAAGATCCATCTGTCAATTCAACCAAAGGTTCAACCAAATAAATTTGTTGGTTGGTGCCTCAAAGACAAATAATTCCAGCAAGCGAAAAAGGAATATTAATTAAACCGAGCGTGACCACGTTTCAGCAAACCTGCTGTTTGGTTTTGGAGAAGAGTTTGGTTTTTGAATAATAGACAAATATAATTTATGTGTATATATATATATATTAAGATATATATATAATTGAAATAACCCAGAAGATTGAAGTCCTTGTAGAACGTTTAACGTACTTGTTTCGTTTATGTTTTACGGGGAACTTTCAGATCTGTTCTTTCTTGAAACATTTTGGTTCAAGCTTACTTCAATCTTCTGGTGCGTTTATTATGCGTTTTGCTTTCCAAAAAACCCACCCTTCCCACACCTAATTGTTTTTGTTCTGATTCTATTCCCTATCATATTTTGTTGTTTCTTTTATGGCTTTAATCAATGATCCATCCAACTTCCTTGGATCGGATTCACCTGCTGTGCTCGTTTTGTACAGTGTAGTGATTTCGGCTTCGACATCTGCCCGACTCCAACCATTCCAGGCATCCGACCTTAGCCCTCCATCCAGGAGGTTTTGCATCCGCCGTAGTTCCCGACTCGTCACCTTCACTAGGTTTTCTGGTTGTCACCATTTTTGCATGCTGCTCGGCTTTTCTCACAACATGTGAGTTGTTTACATTGACAGGGGGTTTAAGATCCATCTGTCAATTCAATCAAAGGTTCAACCAAATAAATTTGTTGGTTGGTGCCTCAAAGACAAATAATTCCAGCAAGCGCAAAAGGAATATTAATTAAACCGAGCGTGACCACGTTTCAGCAAACCTGCTGTTTGGTTTTGGAGAAGAGTTTGGTTTTTGAATAATAGACAAATATAATTTATGTGTATATATATATATATTAAGATATATATATATAATTGAAATAACCCAGAAGATTGAAGTCCTTGTAGAACCAACCTGTCTCTTTCAATTGACCTACTCTCGATTCTACAAGAGAAATCTGTCAATCTTCAATCGGTTTACCCAGAATATCTTCTTTAAATCACTGTTGGTGTTTTTCTTTATTCTGGAATCTATACTCTAACATCCACATGATGCTATTAATCAAACAATTGTTACTCATGTGTCTTCCAAGAAATCTGTGCAGACAAACTCATGTTTGAATTTTTTATTCTTGGACATTTGTTCATTTTATCCCGTGCAGCTCTGGCTGGGCGGGTAGGAGGGTTGAGAAATTTTTTCTAGCCCCATGCTGCGTGACCCACCCTATTTTCCCACCCACGCACCAGGGGGGAATAAACGGGTCATGCTATACCTTGCAAGCAACCGACAACTTCAGTCGGCATCAATGCAACAACCTTGGCTTGTCCGTTTTCGAAACCGAAGCTCAACATGAGCTTTCCATGGCCCCCGACCACTCAATTAAGAAATGCGCAAAAAGGAAATCATATATCAAAGAGAATTATCAAGTCGGAAAACAATAAAGAATTGTAAGAAGCTCTACAGTACTCACGGAGTTTAAATTTATACATATAATTTTATAGATATATATATATAATTCAATGCGTAATCATAAGTACGCTTCGCTTTGTTCTATAAATTTTTCCAAACACTCGGAAGTGACGCTTCTGAAAACTTCTAAAGACATCTCACGTCTCTTGGAAATGGGAGTGCTGGAAGAACCCAGTGCAGAAGATCTGGAACAAGGGGTGATTCTTTCAACCCGCAGTGTCATGGACTGGAGAGTGCATGATCAAGAATGGCAAAGGCGTTGCAGGTTTGTGGCAAAGGAGTTCAAGGGCACTGACCGTGGAACCGCTGCAACATTTGCGCCCACTTCTGGGATTGGAGCCTGTTTACTGCTGATAGCACATTGCTGTCTTGGATGGTTTTTGAGTTTCGTGGACATCAAAGATGCCTTTCTTGCTGGTGGACCAGCGTGAGCGCATTTTGGTTGAGAAGCCAACATCGTGGCGCATGGAAGAGTCTGCAGAGCAAAGCAACTTTTGGAGTTTGCGTAAGTGCCTGCCTGGTCAACGCAATGCAGCCTCAAGGTTCTTTGACTTTTTGGGCGAGCACCTTCAGTCATTGGGTTTCAAAAGCACGCTGCTACTTCCAAGCCTGTTTAGGCACACAGAAAGAAAGCTCATGGTTTGCTCTCATGTGGACGACCTCGTCTTGTGCGGTGAGAAAGAAGATCTGGAATGGCTCGTGATGGAATTGAGAAAAAGGTTCACTTTGCAAGGTGGTGAAATCTTGCCCCGTCCTGGCCAAGATCCCAATGAACCAATCAGATTCCTTAAGAAAAGTCACTTTTTCACCCAGGCGGGGATTGTTATCAGTCCGCACGAGCGATACACTGAGGACCTCCTGAAGCTCTACAGCCTTGAAGGGAGGAAGTCTAAATCCACCCCTGATGTGTCCTGTGAAGACTATGACTCGCAAGAGTTGGACGATGCTGGCAAGCACAGATTCCGATCTGCCATGGGTACGCTCTTATACTTGAGCCAGGATCGGGTGGATCCACAACATGCAGTTTGCCATCTCAGTCAGTTCATGGCGAAACCGACTGCTGCAGCCGAAGCAGGAGTCAAGCATGTAATCCTGTACCTCAAGGGCACTCCTGACCTTGGAATTTTGCTTGGCTATCAGGTGTCAAGCAACAGCAAGCTGGATGAAGTACGAGGTTGGTGATCCTGGAACCTTGGAAGCTGGAACCAATTTGGTAGAGGCATTCACAGGTGCCGATTGGGCTGGGGACAAATCAAGTGAGACCAGGAAACGCCATTCAGTTTCCTCAGCGATGGTCTATGTGAACAATCGCCTGGTTAGCTCATGGTCAAGGACGCAGAAAAGCATCGCTCTGAGCAGTTGCGAGAGCGAATACCTGTCAGCGGTGAGTGGAGGAGCTGAAGCCCTCTATGTTTCCCGTCTTTGGTCCTTTTTGGTGGAAAAGGAGGTTCAGGCCAAGATTTCCTGCAGAGCCTTTTCACAGAGGCAAGGAGTTGGTCGACTCAAACATGTGGAGACCAAATACTTGTGGCTCCAGCAGCAGATCAAGTCTGGAAGTTTGGAGATGGATGGTGTGGCGACGGTGCTGAACATCTCAGACCTGGGAACCAAGAAACTGACAAAGGTGAGGCGATGCTTCTTGATGTACCTCATCGGCCTGGTGGAGTTCGACCCCAGCACGAAATCCTACGTTCCGGCTGGAGCAGACGAATTCAATCTCTTCATGCAGAAAAGTAATGGGCCGGAACATGAAGCTGATTCGCCGGGTGGTTCTCAACACGTCGGCGGATGGATCTTCGGAATTTCCAGTTCCTGTGGCGAAGCCTTTGGTGAAAGCGCTTACAATTCTTTCGCTGCAATCCGTGGTGGGTGGCTCGCGAATTGATGAAGCAAACTACGAGGTGATGTTTCGGAGATCTTCGCGGACTTTCCTGGCTTCATGATGGTGTATGCCTTGGTATTCTTCTTGGTGGGTTTGGCCTGCGGATTCGTTCTGAAGAAGGCCATACATCGATGGGAGCTCTCAAAAGTGATCAACTGGGCTGCCGAGCAGATTGGAAATCGCAAGGAGATAACCTATGTCGATGATTGGGATCCTGAACGACATGAACTTCGGCAGTTCCGAGTGCTGAAGCACGTGGATGAAGCAGAGAGCGGAGAAGAATACTTCAGAGAAGTACCTGGTGGCATGGCGAGATTCGTGAAGCTGGATCGAAGGAGGCGAGCTCATCATGGATTCGTCGAAACTGATGCGCTGAACGCCTACGACCTTTCTGATGGCGAGAACGCCGAGGTGGAGCCCATGGAGATTGACGAGGAGGAGACGAACCTTCCGCCGGTGGCAGCACTGTCCGCTGCTATGGCTGAGGCGGATCAACATGGAGAACTTCAACAAGGTGATGGACATGCAGGTCGAAGTGCTGGAAGCCAAGATCACGTGTCTGACAGCAACACACGTGAGTATGTGGACCTGCCTGGTTCGCCGGAGAGCGATCATGTTCCTCCTGCTCTTCCTTTGGTGGGCGTGGACTGGAATGACAACTAGGAGATCATGCGGCACTATCCGCGCATTGAACGTGAGAGAGCCCTGCGTGTACAGCAAGTGGGACTTTTCAATAGCACGGTTTTTCAGGAGTACCTGAAGGTTCATTTAATGACCTTGTACCCCAATCAACCTGATATGCAATGGGATTTTCCAATGTTCTGGACACAGCGCGGTTTCACAACATTTTGTGACATCATCACCCGTGGCATGTATTTGAACAACTGGGGAAGCTTTGTAGAACAATGGTTCATCCAGGAGGAATGGCAGAATAACCAACCTGGATTGATGACAAAATCAAGCCTCTTGTCGTCATGATTTTGAGGCGGGGTGTTAGATATTTGTCATGTCTGCACCCATGCATGGATGACACGCACAAATCAGAGAAGTGTCATGAAACGGTTGCTGCACAACATGTGCACATATGCCGCTACAAGTGGCTCTAGCGGCTCTAGCGCCTTGGAAAACAGTTGCACTTGGTCCGCTCTGCCTTCTAACAGATATCATTTTTTTGTGGAAAAATGTTCCGAAAGAGCGGGATTTGTATGTAGAGGCGGTGTTCAATTTTTACCTCTAGGTTGTCAGGAAACTGATGATGGGCAGAGTTGGTGTGTTCGCAACAGATCATTTTTTCCGTCCGCGCTCCATGTGGTCTCGAATATAGAACGACTGAGCATACAATAGATACTAACACGATGGAATATCAACATGTTCTGGGGACTTTCAACAAACGATGGAATTTGAATGAGGTGTAGTGACCAGATTTGTAGCACCCTGAAATGCACTTCGAAGAACGGTTTTCATGGCAAAAAAATGGAATTTCTCCAAAGCGTGCAGTGCCATCTTTAGGGCCAACACAAAAAAAACATATACATGTACTGTATATATAAGATGATTGTCCACACAATTCCGAATATGCAATTGGTTTAGCATAGCACTCATGCCAGTGTATCACCATGAAAACCATGGGATGACATGCGCAAATCGAGCAGTGTAACAGAATTTCATGTCACGTCACATGCCACGTGAGAATCCTTTGCATCAAGGCCCTGAGGTTCAAAAGTCAGTGCAGCCCGTTTGATTTCGCACTGAACCTTTGCATGGTAGCGGAGCTTAGCGTTTGCCGTTGCCGCTGAACTTTTGGTATAGACTGCAGTGGATTGGAAGTGCTTCTGTTGGAACATTTCTGGATAGCAGGACATCTGGTGAGCTGGCGTGGTTCTTTTCACTGGGTATAAACTGCATTTTGGGAGTGGCAGGAAGCTGGATTTCACTGACAGTTGGGAAACAATTTGAGGTGCTACGTTTTAGGAGTTTTCTCTGGACGTTTGCATTGCAGTTTGGTTTCATGGCCGCCTTTGACCCGAATGTGCTTCAGGCAGCTCTGTTGAGGGTTGCAGAAGCAACAGAGGCAGCTGCTGCAGCAGCTAAGGCAGCAGCTGCACCACCACCACCTCCGCCGACTTCGAGTTCTTCCACGGGAAGGGCTTCAGTGGATTGGTCAAAGTTGATCAGTCGCCCTGCAACATTTCACTACAAAACCATGGATGAGGATTTGAAGAATTACAAGGACTGGTTGTGGCAGTTGACACAGTACCTTGTTACAGTAGATGAGAGCTATGAAGCAGATTTGCGTGCTTTGAGTGATGACCCCAACAAGCCGCTGGACATGAGTACAGCATCAGCAGAGACCCGGCAGAGATCAGCAAAGCTCTATGGGCTTTTGGCCAGTTTGGTCAAGAATCGGGCTTTGGGAATCATCAGAGCAGCTCCTGCAGGGGATGGTTTTGAGGCTTTGCGTCAATTGACCATATCGATGAGACCCAATATTCAATCAAGAGGTCTCGCGCTGCTAGGCTTCAGCATGAACAAGCCGCTCCAAATGCAGTTGCTGCGCTTGGAGGCAGCCTTCGACGAAACAAGGAAAGCTGGAACACCCCTTGCAGATGAATTGAAAACCGCAATCCTTTTGCAAACTCACCTGAACTTGAACATGAAGGATGGTACAAAATACCTTGAAGTTCGTGAAGAAGTTCTTAGGTGGGACCGAGCTCAACAGAAGTGGAATGGTGTTTCTCCAGTTGTGGAGGAAAGTCATGAAGCAGTGGCGATGGAAATAGATAGAGTTGAGGGAAAAGGAAAAGGTGATAAGAAGGGAAAAGGAAAGAACAAAGGTGGAGCCAAAGGCAAATCAAAGACGAAAGGAAAAGACAAAGGTGATAATTCGAAAGGTGGCAAAAGCGGCAAGGGCAAGTCATCAAATTTCCAGGGCAAAGGAAAGGGTGGAAAGGCTTCAGATAAGCCTTGCTATGTGTGCGGTAAGGTTGGACACTTTGCAAGGGACTGCTGGCATGGTGGCGTGCGCAATGTGGCATCGAGTGTGGTTTTAGGTTCAACACCATCAGACTGGACCCATCTTACAAGTGTGTCACAACAGGGACAGGCGCAACAGAATGCGCAACAGACACCAGTTGCGCCACAGCAGCAGCCTGCAACTCAGTCGAACTCTCCGTACCGTGTTGCAAGAGTTTCAGAGAATTCACAGTTTCACGAAGGAGGAGATCATGAACATTTTGTTTTCGATCTCAGACAAGATAGCCCTAATGGAGGCAATGTGCGTGCGGTCCAATTTTTCATTGGAGATGTGGATGCCCAACATGATGAGTTTGAGGTTTCTCAAGTCAGAGCCATAGCAGAAGAGATCGATTCCAGACGGAGAAGAGTTGTGTCCAATTTTGCTGGACTCAGGCGCAGATTCAGCTGTTCCCAGCGAGGTTTGGCAATGCTGGGAGCCCTTCACAGTGCAAAGCTCTGAGATTGCATGATGCTCAGGGAGTTCAAATTCCAGTGTCAGACATGAGAGATGTTGAGATACAGTTGGTGGATCAGAGTGGAAGAGTCGTCATGCTGAAGGAACGTGTAGCCATCAGCAGCCATGTCCATCAACCAATCTTGTGTTTTGGAACGATGTTGGAATGTGGATGGGGTATTCAAGCCGACGAGCAAGTCCTCACCCACAGCACTGGACTCAAAATTCCCATTGAATTGCAGAACCAGAGCGTTACTGTGAAAGGGTGGATTAGAGTTTTGACAGCAGTTGCCTTATCTCGGGCCACTGCCACGTACACGGTTTTCCCACGCGATGTAGCCCACAGCATGGCTCTGCGTTTATTCACATGGTACTTAATGTCATTCGTGCCGAAGATCGCGACAGCATTCTCTAATGCTTCTTGACATCGCACGTCTGGCTCGGCATGTGCCACCAATGCTCTGGTTGCTCTGTCTTGTGCGCAGACGCCACACTCTTGCGCAAGCGCTCTGCGTCACGCGGAGGACGCTGTGGGAACGATGACGGGACGATGGGAAGCGGTGATTCACCGGTAAAGGGCCTTCACAGCCTTTGCAAAATCCTCCAGACCAAGCAGCTCAGGACAAACACAACCTCACTCATATGCCATACCAAGCGTGGTGCCCAGCATGTGGCAGCTTCAGAGCGCGTGCAGATGCTCACAGAGTTGCAAGAAGTGGAAGCACACCAACGATCAGTGGTGACTTTTGTTATGTGAAGCGTGTGCCAGAAGGTTCAGATCCGAAGGAGATCACTGCAATCACCAGTCTCATTATGACTGACTCGATGACAGGTTACAGCCATGCAACACCTGTCAGGAGCAAGAATCAGTATCAGTTGATGGTGCAGGAGATTTTGACATTCTGCCAGTTGATGGGACATACAACAGTGACTCTTCGGTGTGACAATGAGCCTGTGCTGGTTCAGGTTTTGCGCATGACAGTGAATGCCAGGTTGAGCATGGGATTGCCAACGAGAGCTTCAACTCCAATGGCTTACTCTCATTCAAATTCTTTGGTGGAGAATCTTGTTGGACGTGCACGAGCTCTGGCAGGAAGCTTGATGTTTGCGTTGAGTGAAAAGGTGGGTGTCACATTTTCAAGCAACAGTGCATGGTGACCGGTGGTCATGGGCTTTCAGACATGCATGCTGGATTTTGAATCGATTCAGTTCTATGAGGACTGTGACGCCATATGAGCTGACGTATGGACGTGAGTACACAGGTGCGTTGTGTGAGTTTGGTGAACCAATTTTTGGATACCACAGAACAGCTGCTAAGTCCTCAGCAAGATGGAAGAGAGCAATTTTCTTGGGCAAGATTCGATTGATCCCCAGGATTCATATCTTCTGTATGATGGTCACAACTTGGTGCTCACACGAAGTGTGAGAAGGATCTCAACATCCTGGAAGGGACACCTTGCTTTCTACATGAATTTGACTTGCTGGAGTTGGAATTACAACCTGGTTTTGGCGGGAGAGTGGTTCCAACAAAGGAACAACGTGCAGCAGTTGGAGCCAGTTTCAATCAGCCAGAAGGCCATATCGAGCCATCTGCTTTCTTCGATGAGGAGGCAGAGCAAGTGCGTCAGAAGTTTCTGGAAGAGCAGAAGGAAGAGGAAGAGGCTGGTGAAATGGCGCTACATGACAAACCGGCAGTTGGAAATTTGGAGGTGGAACAGAGACCTGCAGCAGTGACTTTGGAGAGACGGTTGTGGTGGATGATGATGAACAGCTGAGAACTCCTCCGATCAGCATGCAGGAGGAGAAGCGATCCTTCTTTGATGTGCGGCCTGCTGCAGCACCTTCAACAGCTGCAACTTCTTCAGCTGCAGCATCTTCTGCAATGCCTATGAGTGGCTTGGATGTGCCCACAACTCCAAGGACAGCCCCAACAACGAGAGTGCATGGAGCTGGAACGGAGGAGGAACATGAATCAAAGAAGGCACGAGTGGAGGATGAGAAAAGACAAAGAATTGAACGAATTGTAGCTGAACATGAAAATGCAATCAGAGCGGTGAAGGTTTCAGAAGATGAGATTTTCCACACAATGGATGACTATGAGACAGACTTACAGATGGATGACCACAACGAGATTGACGTTTGGGCTGGAGAGGATGAAGTTGCCACCACAGGCATGCCAGAAGCACTGTGGTGT